CCTTGATGACAGCTGAAACAACGTCAGACCAAAGAACGGTTCGGAGTGAAAATGGCTATTTTGTTGCTAATTTGCAGGAAATATCTAGAAGAGAGTTCTACAGAAAGTAGCTAAGGGTCCTCAGAAATGTAGCTAGCTTTGTCACTAGGCGTTAGGAACAGCGACAAAGTGGCACTGCCTCTCTCTCTGCTGCTAAAGCTACGGATAGCAAACGCTACGGGCGATGCCTGAGCGTGAACGCGCATGAAGCAGCCTGCTCGACCCGAGCATCTCTCTTTTTCTGTGATTTTACAGAAAAACAGGCAATCACAGTAAAAATGCCAGGGCTCATTCTACAGGACCAGGGCATTGCAGGAGAATGTATGAAGAAGACATTTATTATTTCTACACATGTTTTAGCTGTCAGACTTCCATAATGTCCCTTTACAAAAGATTGGCTAAAAATAATTAGTGAAAACAAAGCAAACAAACAAACCAGGGTCAGATTGGAGCAACTAGACTTCTCCGACAACCTCAGCTGGAAGGTGATCAAAAGAAGAGTGGCTGCCCATCGCTCCCGATTAATGCACTTTGAATTAACCACTTTCAGGGGAGAGCCATGGGAAGGAGGAGCACAAGAGAAAATCCATGCCGACTTTGGAATAATCTCTCTCTGTCACGTTGGTCCAAACGGGGAGGGTCAGCTCATTACAGCACCCCCAGGAGATGAATGGGTCAGTCAGGCATTTAGGAGAGCAGGTTTGGACCGCTGTGTTAGACAGTGGGATCCACACCAGAAGTGTGTGTGGGAGCGGGTCGGAACACAACGAACAGTGGAGCAAAATACTTAGTGGCATGTGCTATTTCTGCCCGGGAGCAGGTGTGGTGAAGGAGGCTGCACGCTGGGCTGGAGGGCAGGCGTAACACACAAACACCTGGAGTCAACAATCACCCGGATTTCACTCTGAACACACGGAGAGGTGACGTCACCTCGGGCCAGCAGAACCAATCCCAAAGTGTTCCAGATGTTCTGCTGCTGTATTTCAACCTGAATCCACCGCATTCAGAAGAACGTGTAATTATGACTAAAATAATACCGGTAATATAAAAGTTGAACACATAGATGCAGTTCTAACATCTACCACTGGATGGCAGTGTTGTCTTTTTACAGTATGTGATGGGAGGCTGACACTTGTTCCCCTAACTGTTTTGAGTACTGAAAACACTTATTTATTTATTTATTTATTATCTGAAAGGTCTCTCAGTCCTCACATGTAAGGTACAGTTAATGTTGATTCTGAGTAGCTTTATAATGGCAGGAACAGATAAAGGTCATCACTGGGCCAGGCTTCCTAGCGAATGATTGTTATAGATCAGAAGCTGCACAGACGGCTTGTTATTTTAAAGATGGACAATTGTTTTGGGTCATATTGCAACTAAATTCTCAGTTATTTTTGATAACATACATTTAGGAATTTGACTGAAAACGTGAGCTACGTTAAATAGACGAGTCTTTCATTAGTGTGATTTTTTTCACGTTTTCCTGATTGAATGTTTGTGAATTCTTTCATGTTCTATAGGTTATTGTTGTTCATTAAAGATGGGGAAGTTTTAACCCTCCCACTGTCTTCATGGCTGACCCCGCCAGGAAAGCTGACCCTTGAGCAGGATTGGTGGTTTATCCCTTGAGGTTCACGTGGCAGGGGTGAGGTCCCTGCCACGTGAACCTCAAGGGATAAACCACCAATCCTGCTCAAGGGTCAGCTTTCCTGGCGGGGTCAGCCATGAAGACAGTGGGAGGGGTAAATTACTTTTAAAATCCTTAAATTTGACCATCTGACCCTGTTCTAGGAGAAAAAGTAAATAATTTTTCATCTTTTATTCTTTACATACCAGGAGCCAGCCCGCGTATCTCGAGGTCTTGTTCATGAGTGAGGGAAAGATGGAGAGCAGGACCGACAGGCGGATTGCTGCGTCTGCAGTGATGCGGGCGTTGTACCGATCTGTAGTGGTGAAGAGAGAGCTGAGCCAACAGGCAAAGCTCTCTATGTACCGGTCGACCTACGTTCCTACCCTCACCTATGCTCTCGAGCTTTGGGCAGTGACTGAAAGAACAAGGTTGCAGATGCAAGCGGCCAAAATGACATAGAGAGGAGCCAGTTGAGGTGGCTAGGGCATCTAGTTAGGATACCTCCTGGACGCCTACCTGGTGAGGTTTTCCGGGCACGTCCAACTGGGAGGAGACCTAAAGGAAGACCCACAACACGCTGGAGGAACTGTCTCTTGGCTGGCCAGGTAACGCCTTGGGACTCCCCCGGAGGAGCTGGCCCAAGTGGCTGTGCTTAGGCTGCTGTCCCCGTGACCCGACCCCGGATAAACGGCCAAAAATGGACAGATAGATTTTATTTTTCTCCTAAGTCCCTCCCCTGGCCTTTACAGGTAAACGAATCATTTACGCAAGCCATACCGCTTTGACCAATAGAGTTTCGTTTCCACAAGAGGGAACTGTCAACGGGAACACGCCCCGTGTCATCAATTCAATTCAACTCAATTCAATTCAAGTTTATTTATAAAGCGCCAAATCACGACAACAGTCGTCTCAAGGCACTTCACATAATAAACATTCCAATTCAGGTCAGTTCATTAAGCCAATCAGAAATAATGTTTCCTATATAAGGAACCCAGCAAATTGCTAATCCTCATACTAAGCAAGCATATGGCGACAGTGGAGAGGAAAACTCCCTTTTAACAGGAAGAAACCTCCAGAGAATCCTGGCTCAGTATAAGCAGCCATCCTCCACGACTCACTGGGGATGGAGAAGACAGAGCACACGCACACACACACACACACACACACACACACACACACACACACACACACACACGCACGCACGCACGCACGCACGCACACACACACACACACACACACACGCACGCACGCACGCACGCACACACACACACACACACACACACACACACACTTTATATGGTTACACCGTGATTTCTTAGTAAATATTCTATTTGGTGAGAGATAAACTTTATTGTATTTATTCTAGTGGATCTATAATTAAACGGGTAAACTAGTAGTAGCACATCCAATGTCAAGGAAAGCAAAAAGTTATTATCAGGAGAGGGAGAATGTTTAAGTGGTTAGCAGCAGTGTGCTAGACGATCAGTGTGCACAACGGGGTCACGTGCTTCAGTCGGCCTGATATCACGATGGAGCAACACATTCTGAAGTCAGGTTTCTCAACTGCCTCAAATACTTTTGAAAAATCTACTTGCTTATGCAGAATCTGTCATTATAACCCAATTATCCCGTATTAGACTTTAGTCTCTTTTGTTTTGGCACCAAAACGTGCCCTCTGGGCTGCACACTGGTGACGCAACCTTATTAGATCACATGATAAGATAATTTCTGCCGGCAGACCAGCGTGGATTAAATTTAGATCTATCAGCAACACAAATCTGTGGGGATGCAATCGACTGATTTATTTTAATAAAGTGTACTGAAACAATCACAGAATCTTCCTTAATGTTAAATGTTTACTGAAGCCACCAGAAGATCACAATCGCTTCACAAGGAAATAAACACACTTACGTGTCGTAAACTCAAACCACGAGCTTCCTGCTAACACATTCAAACATCAAAGACTCTGTGGGACAATTAACTCCAATCAGTGACCACTGGCTTTGAAATGAAGGTAATACACCTCGAATAGGTCATCAGCGCTGAACACCAAACAAGCTGAAGCTCTGCTGGAGTAAATGTTACTCATCACAATCGTTTAGTTTTCAGGTCCGCGCGGCCTCACGGACCTTCGCTGGGAGAAAATGCCAGCCATCATTAGCTCGGCGAGCGAGAGAGCGTCTGATTTTCATTTGAATGGGAGAGAGTGTGAGTGCTGGTTAGGGATGTGTGTGTGTGTGTGTATGAATGCTGACAGGATGATCATCCTGTTGGCTACGTGAGAGGCTGACCTTTCACAGCGGCAGCACAATCAGCTAAAATCAGTCCCGTCCAGATGAAACGAACCAAATTACATCACTTTTGTGGGCGTCCTCCCTTCTCACTCGCTGCATCCATTCTGGTGCTTTTAGCTCTTGGTGCACAGTTTACATCGATTGAATACAGATGTGCATATTTGTTAGCTGATTCGGGGGGGGGGGGGGGGGGGGGGGTTGTGAAGCCGTTCGGGTGGAGTGACATAGTAATCATGAGCATGTCTCTCCACATCAACATTTTTTTCCTGATAAACTATATAAATGAGTGTCTGACCGTGCTGTAGACAATAATTCAGCACTTTAGTGCATTTTAGTTAAAATTGAAATATTATGCCTAAAACTGTCAGCGATGCACTGTCGTCAGGTAAGAACTCAGCACTGCATTTGAATTTAAATCTGCCATCGCTATTGGCTAAGAGGTACACTATGATGTTAGATGGTACATTATGATGTCACAATGTCGTGAGTGTGTATTAGTTAGCGGCTCCGCCCTCTCGTTCTGCTAGGCAAAAGCATTTTTTGCATTTTTCAAACAGGAAGTGGGAGTTGAGTAAGAATCTGGTAGGGGGTGACTTGCTCTTTAAATAATTCTAACAGCGTTATTATCACTCTAGAATCGCAGCTTCTTTTATTTATTTATTTTTACTAAATGACGTCGCTCAAAAACCTTCGTAGCAACAATTATTCGGGGTGTCCTGCATAATCCTGTTTCTATTTTAGGAGTTCATAATTGTCAAAGGGAATTTTATGCTTTAGCTGGTTGCCTAAGCAACTACAAATAACCAATGGCTCTCATGCATCAACGCAAGAGTTTCAACAGCAGCAAAACAAGCATTTGTTGTGGACAAGTCAAATTAAAATGTTCTTTTCAACAATCCTGTGATTCTTTTAATAGCATCATTTATTTATTTTCACGCAGCCGAGCGCTTTTAAACGCCCTCGTGTGAATTAGAACATCCAGATTATTAAAAATAATTGTGTTCAGTGGCGGATGCTGGCCTGCCTGTTGGTGCTGCTATAAAAGCTGCCGGCTCTCTAGAGCGGCGTTATTGTCCTCCCTGCTTGTGCAGAGACGCACCTCAGCATGTCAGCAGCTCTACGCACTCAGCTCCTCCTCTGCCTCGTCTCCCTGTCCACAAGGACAGGACTCACTCGCTACATCGAGGTAAGATCAAGGTTTTACCGGTGCATCATAGAAAAATTGAACTGTTCATGACTTGGTGCAGGTGAACCTCGTCTGTAAACTTTTGACTTGATTTATTCAGGATAACGACGCTTCGGATGGATTATATTCTCTGCTTTTGGCTCAGAAACGAGAATCAGAGGATTTTATCTTTCACCGACCTCTTCGTAAGATTTATTTCTGATATTTGTTTCATTTTGTAACTGACTGTGTGTGACTCTGGGTGTTAACTGTGATAAATCACATGTGGAAGGATTCTGAAATCAGGACAATTTGCTGCTCTGGCTCCATCAAACGTATGAGTTTGAGCTGACTTCTGTGGTATGATTTTCTGATTATAAAGAGTCAGTGCGTTACACCGACACATTTGATTCTTCTGTCTGAACACAGCAAAGTGGTTAGATCAGTCCAAATTGATGCAGATGTCCGTAAAGTTTTAGGAAGTCTCCAGGAAACCCTTAGAACTGTTGAAAACACGGCTGTGTGTGATGTCTAGGATGCTTGGACATGCTGGCCAATGAAGGTTATTTCACCTTCGTGGCGTCCCGGCCACAGCTGGCTTGCGCTGCTTTCATCATCGCCGAGCCCGGTGAAGTCATCAGCGTGGAGCTGTCTGACGTCAGCATCGACTGCACCGCCGGAGACTTCGTAAAGGTCGTCCCACTCACCCAGAATAACTCAAACACACGCCAAGCAACACCGTTTAAAGCCTAAAGCCCACTTTTCATTGCCTTTGATTTAATTCCAGGCTGGATTGAGGCAAAGTTTAGGGGCGAAACATCCCACTAGATTTTCCCACTGCTCAGAGAGAAAGTAGGAGGAAAAATCTTTAGTTCGGAAGCCAAGCCAGCAGTTCTGAGTGGGACAAATCCGGAAAAGGCTTGGCAGAGAGAAACGACGGAGACGTTTGGGATTTATGTTTGCAAGCCGGCGTCTGTCACCTGCACTTTTTTACCTCGCAGGACTCATGTTTTACTTTCTGGACTCAAAATTTTATTAGTATTTACGATAAACCCAATAAAATCAAATCATTTCTTTATTTTGTGTTTAGGCAAAGAACAGTCCCTTGCATTAAACATGTACAGGCCCCTTAGCCACAGGGGCGTGTCCAGGGAGTGGCCTGGGGTGGCACATGCCACCCTTAGAATCTGATTGGCCACCCCCAGGTGCCACCCTACTAAGTTCAGAATCAGAATCAGAATGAATTTTATTGCCAGCGCTCCAGAGCGTAGGAACTTGACTCCATAGTACAACCTGACCAAGGTTACACACACACAGGCAGACCATGGGAGCAGCCGTGACGGCGCTCCTTAGTAGATGAATGAGGGAATACATGAGGAGAGTTTCAGGGGAGGGAGAAAAAAAGGCATTAACAAGGTTACACTGGCAGGGTGTAGCACTCTAATGCAAAAAAACACCCGACATATAAGCACGAACATCACAGTTCACAACATGAGACCCGGTAGGTAGGAGGGAGGGGCTGGGACCCTGGTTTCCTCAGCGGGGGCTGCCTGTGTGGCGCTCAACCAGCTGGATCCGCAGGTGGGAGGGAGGTCATGGGGAAGCACAGAGAGCAGAGAGTGCCTTCAGCGTCGCTAGAGACCACAATCTGAAGGCAGGGGGGGGGGGGGGGGGGAATAGAGTTTCACAGCATTTGTCAGCATTCCTTCCATCGTGGGGGTTGTTTGCACGCAACTCCAAGGCTGCTTATGGCGTCAGATTTGATAACAGAACTTTGTTTGGGTCAGGCAGAGATAATTTTTCCTCTATGTACTAAGTTCCAGTTTAAATTGACTTTACATTGTCGACAAAAGGCTTGGGTTGTAAACTCCAAAAATAGTGTGTGGTAGCACGCACCTTTAACATCGTCTTCTAGCCCAGGCCTACAGAACATTTCTGTAGTATAAATATTATTTATTATTTTTTCATATTCACATAAATAGTATTCAGAGTCCCACTCATCTCCAGTTGGTGGCAGTAATGCAACAAGAAGTGACTTGCTAACCACCACAAAACTAGAAGATGAATAGAAAAAATGGTGATTGTGCAATGTGAAACTCCAAAATTCACTAGAATGTAAATAAATAAACGATTTGTGTAAATAAATAAATAAGCATAACCATTGGTGCCACCCATGCATAAACAAGTGCCCCACATGGGCCACCCCATTTTAAAAGTCCTGGACACGGCTCTGCTTAGCCATTTCAGAATGTCTGCTGAAGATGTTAAAGTTGAGTGAAATTACTCGCTGTTACTCGACTGTTTAATGAGTAAATGCTGAGTCAATAACTTTTTTATGAAGCCACCTAAATGTTTGGTGATATAAGTCAGTTTGGCCTGTTTGGGACAAAAACAAGGCTTGCTTCCATGAGAATGAGAGAAAACTAATATTCTTTAGTGCTATTCTTCTGTCCTGTAATAAAAACAACAGTTTTGCATCAAACAGCGTTTTGTCACGCTTCTCCTGCAGATCTTCGATGGCTGGGTTCTCAAAGGAGAGAAGTTTCCCAGCAGTTTTGATCATCCTCTCCCACCGCATGAGCGCTACACGGACTACTGCTCCTCCACAGGACCGCTAGTCGCCTCCCAATCCTCCCAGAACGTCGCCATGGTCTTCTTTCGCATTCACAGCCCTGAAAGTGGCTTCAACTTGGCCGTCAAAAAACTGCACAACCCTCTGCGTGAGTCCTGCAACTAAAATCAAGAAGCTGCCACAAAGTAAAGTAAAATACAAAAAACAAATCTGATAAAAACTGATTGTTTTTGGGAGTTCTGACGGAAGGGATTCGGCTCCGTGTGTGTGTGCGCGTGTGTGAGTGTGTGTTCCGGATATTGGTGCTCAGCCGAGCGTTAATCAAGGCTGAGAGCAACATGAAGAGATTGAATGAGAAGGATGCACCTGTTTTCCAGCTGCTTGACAAACACCGTGTTAACCCTGTGCCAAGCAACATAACAATCAGCAGGAAAACACACAAAAGCCCCTCTTCCAATGGAAAAAATGGATTTGAATAGATTTTCTTTTCGACAAATAACAAAAACAGGCAGTGATGGAGGCTTTATTCCCTTATTGACCCTTGACTGAATCTGGCTTTCATATAGCTTTGTGTAAACGTGGCAGAACGTTTGTGTTAACAAACAAAATCAATGCACATAAATGGAAGCAATTTGGAATTTTGGCAAAAACTAAAATCTGTCCTGAGGAGCAATAATTTATGGAGAAAATGATCTTTCTACTCTGTGGTCTCGCAGACTTGCAGAAATGATCAACTGTACAACTATTGTAAATGTTAGATGTTCCTGTTGTTTATAAAAACGCAGCCTGCAGATCTGGACTAGCACAGCGGGTTTGTGTCCTAATTGTTCGTCCAAGTGGTGCAACCTGAGGTATCCATAACGAATCATGTGAAACAGAAATCTGAAGCCTCTCTTTCTGTGTGCGTGTGTGTGTGTGTGTGTGTGTGTGTGTGTGTGTGTGTGTGTGTGTGCGTGCGTGCGTGCATGTGTGTGTTTGTGTGTGTGTGTGTGTGTGTGTGTGTGTGTGTGTGTGTGTGTGTGTGTGTGTGTGAAGCCTGTAACATCATGTCTCAGAGTCCAGAGGGCAGCTTCACCATGGTGATACCACACCAGCACAGGAACTGCAGCTTCTCCATCATCTACCCGGTGGAGATCCAGCTGACAGACCTCAGCTTAGGCGAGGCTAGAAGCAATGAGATCAGTCCGCCGGTAAGAAGCAGATGTACACACAACCCATTCTTTTGTGCTTTGTTAGATCAGCTGTTACACCCCCCCCCCCCCCCCCCCCCCCGCTGCTGTTCTTCAGTTGACGTCGGTCTCAATTCAACAGGCGCAAAGAAGACCTGAAGGAACCTCTTGGAAACTGAGCCAATTATTTATTTATTTATTTATTGTAATTTACACCAAAACTTCTAATATTTTTATTGACAAGTTTTAAACGTTAACAAATCTGCAATTTCCACCGAAAAACATTAAATATAAACCCCTAAAAACGGTGACATCATGTTTCCATGCAGCAAAATGTGCACCGAGTAAAAATATTTGTCAAAAGCAAAACGTGATTTTATGTTTCAACACACGTTTTTACAGCTGAAACACTTCAACAGGGATCTAAATGTGTCTGAGTCTGAGGAGGGGGCGAAAAGTGATGTTATTCATTTTTAGGAGACTGAACAAAACAAGACGATTGATGAGGATTCTGGCAGCTTGTGTGACTCTTTCTGGCAAACGGCCGGCTCCATGATGAACCGTGGGGAGAGAATATGACGACTGCATGCCAAGTCTTTTCTACTTACATTCTGAGGAAAACTGCATTGTTTGTGCTGCCATAAAATCAGCCAGCTCTCTAGAGTGGTGCTATTGTCCTAAGTGACATAATTATTGATGAATGGCAAAAATCCAGACCTATTGTTTTCTGTTCTTATCTTAAACACAGCAAAGTTTCCTTTTTTACCTTATTTTGCTGACAGTTTCGACTTCTTACAGTCGCCTTCGTCAGAGCTGCAAAGACCCTCTCAGGCTCAAAATAAGTTCTGATAAAAGGATGAACAACTAAGTCCTTCAGGGGTACTTTTGAGAAAAAAATGCTCATGAAAAACGTACGTGGAGTAACCAGGTAGGTAGGTTTTAACTGTTGCAAATCTGCAACTCCTGCCTCCAGAGGGTTAAGAAATCGTCGTCGTCTTCCTCCGCTTATCCGGGTCCGGGTCGCGGGCGCAGCATCCCAACTAGGGAGCTCCAGACCGTCCTCTCCCCGGCCACCTCCACCAGCTCCTCCGGCAGGACCCCAAGGCGTTCCCGGACCAGATTGGAGATGTAACCTCTCCAACGTGTCCTGGGTCGACCCGGGGGCCTCCTGCCAGCAGGACATGCCCGAAACACCTCCCCAGGGAGGCGTCCAGGAGGCTTCCTGACCAGATGCCCAAACCACCTCAACTGGCTCCTTCGATCCGGAGGAGCAGCGGTTCTACTCCGAGTCCCTCCCGAATGTCCGAGCTCCTCACCCTATCTCTAAGGCTGAGCCCGGCCACCCTACGGAGGAAACTCCAGACCTATATTAAACATTACTAGTTTTGGATCACGTGTCACAAAATGCAAACAAACGTATAATAATAATAATAATAATAATAATAATAATAATAATAATAATTTTTATTTCAAGTGCCTTTCAAAGCTCTCAAGGTCACTGTACAAGACAAAATATAAGGAACAGCAAGCAATACAAACAACAAGAAATAAGTGCTAAGAGTAATTCCCAAGGGTAGAGTTAGAGCAGTACAATGGATGATAGAATAACACGAGTAGATGGAAGGAGGACAATGAGTAAGCCAGGAGGAACGTGTGAGTTTTGAGTTGAGACTTGAAGGTTGAGAAGGAGTTTATATTGTGGAGGTCAGGCGGTAGAGCGTTCCAGAGTTTTGGAGCTGAGTGCCTGAAAGCTCTGGCTCCCATAGTACAGAGACGAGTGCGAGGAGCAGACTCAGGGAAGGTGAAGATGATGATGGGAGAGAGCGAGATGGAGTGACAATGTGGAGGAGATTAGAAAGATAAGGGGGAGCGAGATTATGGATGGCTTTAAAGGCATGAAGATTTATCTTATAGTCAATTCTGTATTTGACAGGGAGCCAGTGAAGTTGCTCCAGGACAGGGGTGATGTGATCTAAAGGGGAGGTCTTAGTGATGATCCGGGCAGCTGAATTTTAAACTAACTGTAGCTTGTTGAGTGATTTTAGAGGGAGACCGGAGAGGAGGGCATGGACATGAACCGGCTCGTCAGCTCAGGAAGAATAAGGCTAAAAAGCATAAAATACACTAATGCAAATTCTGAAAAGTATATGCAAAACACCAAATGTGCTGATGTATCTTTGCAGAGACAGCTGTGGTCAGGTTGTTCTGGATCTGGGGATTATGTGGAGTTGCTGGGAGGGAACGGAGTGGACACCTCCAAGATGTTTCCTGTCGCTGATCTCTGTTTCCCCGCCAGTGGGCTCGGTAAGTCTCCAGCTATTCTGGCACTTTTATCTCAGCACTCTTCCCATATTTTGGTCGTGCGTTATTTATTTATTTTTTTGCAAATTAAAGCAAATCTTGATTAGTTTCCCATTTGTTCCTCTTATTAGTTGAAAGCGGAATCACAACTGTCATAAACAACCCTGCCGCAGTCTGCAGTAGCTGATGCTAACAATGAGCTAACGCCAACATGAGTCAACTGTACTAAATAGAGATCTACAAGGTTGGACAAAAATATTGTAACCCACAAGTTCAGTAGGAACAGAGCCCTCAAATGAGCGTAGGCCGTGCAGATGTTCACTCTGGTTTCAGGTCTTCGTGTGATGATCCGGCGTCATGCCAAAAACAGCAAAACATTTTCTTGTTTTTTTTTTTTGATGGTCGGCAAACTGAAAAAGCTAACTGCTAGCCTTTCTGCTATTAGCTATTGGCAGAGTAAACAGCTGTTGTCACAAAGTAGGCAGAGAGCTCCCCCTAGTGTTGCTAATTAAACCACAAAACATTTGAGTGTAGTTTCTGGTCAGCGAGGGCCGCGGAGTGCTGTTCAGTGTGAAGTTGATCGAGCTTCTAAATCCACTGAAACCAGTTTGAAAGCAACAGCTTAAGGTGTTAAAAACTCTTTAGTGTTAACATTCGTTCAACTACATAATACTAATTAAAATGGATACTAAGCAGTTTTGCTTGCTTTTAGCACCCCCTAGTGGCCATTATTAATGATCTGTGGTCAAATCAAAAGTGAAACATCTCCTGGCTGTGTGTTTGTATTTTTAACACCTTAATCTAACAGCTGAAATGTCCCGTTAGCCTTTATTAGTGTCTACAGGAGTGATTCAACAAACAAATCAGCTGTGTTTATGATCTAAAACAGACTCCAGCTCCGCCATGTCAGCTCCACTCCACTCCACAGCTCCCTCCACCAGCAGGGACTGCAGAGGCAACTCTGAAGTTGCAATTGTGGTATTCTGACCACCGGGGCCAGTGGGGTCCGAGTGACATTTCATTAAGCTTGGTTCATGCTTGACGCATTCACTTTCCGCTTGGTGATGCGGCTCGCGGATGGAACGCGCTTCACAACTCGCAGCGTTTATGGTTTGTGCGGCTCGTCTCTGCGGTGAGCCAATATTCTCCCAAACTGTAGGGGGCAGCATGGAGCTCTATGGCATGCATCCAACGCTACACCATAGTAGAAGTAGAAATTACTGTTTACAACATGGCATTCCAGCATTTTTAACAGCGTCCTCGTCTTTTCCGACAGTGTGAGCTATTTCTCTCCAAGAATTATTAACAACATGTTGATCACGGTGATCTCTGAGAGCTGAATCATACAAAAGTCTGTATTTACCAACCTCTGCCATACTAGTTCTTGCCGGTCCGCCATGTTTTTCCGCGTCCGTCCGTCCGCGTGGTTAGAAATTTTCCGAGGTGCGCGTTGCGGAAATCTTGAGCCGTGCGGACCTCGCGGACGCGTCAAGCATAAACCAACCTTTAACCCTGTAAAGGGCCATTTTAGCACATACTGGCTCAAGAAAATGGTTTAAAAATATGAAAAAGTTGCACCGTATCCAATCCTTACGTAACAAAATGTTTCGGAGTAATTACCTTTTCTCCTGTTCATCTTTTCCTCTTCAGCCCAGATGAAGATCGGATGCGATAACTCGGTGGTGAGGCTGGTGTCAAGCGGGAATTATGTTAACCGTGTTACCTTCCAATACCGACTACTGGATCAAAATGAGCTTCCCAAAACCAGAGAAAACGGTCTGGATCACTTCTGTGCTGTGGAATAAACACACACACACACACACACACACACACACACACACACACACACACACACCCTTGTGAGCCTTCACAGAGACAATCTCACTGTCATTAGTTTCTCTGTAAAAAACAAAGACAACATTAACACATTTTTAAAAACGCTCTCAGTAAGTTTGGATTGTATTTTAAAAACATTTGTATTGGTTATATAATGACTAACCCTAACTGTTAACTGTAATAACAGCGAACGCATTTAGAGATAAATATTTATTTTAAACCTATGATAATAGTGGATTTAGTTGATTTATTTTCAGTCAAATTACTTGAAATGTGTAACATATTTATGGTAGAAATACAAATTTCTCATTTTTTTGGTTTCATTTCACATTTCTGTCACATCTGTTTATATTGGCTTAATAATAAAAAATAAATAAATATAACTTGCATGAAAACGCATATTTTTCATTGCTCTTGTTCTTTGAGTCAGTTAAAGTTTTTTTAGTTCCACTTTAGGTTTCAGTGGCCAATTTTATAGCAGATTGTTAAATTATTATTTAAGTAAAACCCCAAATAATTCTTTGAACATATCGTATTTGACACATGGGCACATGTGGTTAGCTCTGTTGCCTTGCAGCAAGGAGGTCCTGGGTTCACGTTCTCCCTGTGCGTGCGTGGGTTCTCTCCGGGTACTCCGGCTTCCTCCCACAGTCCAAACACATGCGTGTCAGGTTAATTGGTCTCTCTGAATTGTGTGAGTGTGTGTGTGCTTGATTGTTTGTTCTGTGTGTCTGTGTGTTGCCCTGCAATGGACTGGCAACCTGTCCGGGGTGTCCTCCACCTGCATGCCTGGAGACTGAAGGAGATAGACACCAGCCATTGAGTCACATGTAAGCTTCAATTATATGAAATTGCATCAGTGCAGTACTTTTATTTTGAAAATGACCAGGAATTTTGCACTGGTGTGTGATTTCCGTTCTTGCCCCATGTTAACTGCGGAAATTGCCGTGTTCCAGAAGCAGAACCTATCTTTAAAATGTTGCTTTACACATTTACCTCTTCGCCCGTTGCCAGTGATGAAAGGGAGTCTGATGTGATTGTCATGTTGCTGTACTTGCTCGAAAATTGCACTGCCAGTGATTTTTTTAATTCTAATGGCCGTCCGTTGTTAATCCTCTCAGGCTCAAAATAAGTTTTGATAAAAGGACGAACAACTAAGTCCTTCAGCGGTACTTCCGAGTTAAAAAATGCTCATGAAATACGTGTGTGGAGTAACCAGGTAGGTTTTAACGTTGCAAATCTGCAACGCCTGCCTCCAGAGGGTCAAGGGTTTACTTAAACAACAAAATGCCGCTTTCTTTCAAAGATTCAGGTATGTACCACTCCTTATTGACAAGGAAAGTACACACCATCACTTCAAAGTGTTAAAGAGATACTAGGCAGTTTTGCTTGCTTTTAGCACCCCCTACAGTCAGGGGAGGATTAAGGTGTACAGGGGCCCATAGGCTACACTTGTCCGGAACCAAGCCCCCACAATGCGGCTCAAAAATTGAGGCCAACCCGGAAGTACCAAAAATTGCAGTTCCACTCTCATCCACTAGGGGCTGGTGTCAGAAACGAGCAAATCCTCTTTGACTCCCATGTTAAAAATACCAATTTCACAGCAGAAATAAACATGTTTACAGCCTGGTTCCAAAACATGTTTTTGGTTTAAATGATCTAGTTTACACTCATGACAACTCTGAGGGGGGTGATTTTTTTCTCACTCTTCTGTTTAAGTGTATTAAAAGCCTAAAATTCTGTATAATTAATGAACATCAGACCCACGTGACCACAGAGCTAGCTTCGTGGAAAGGCCTCAGTAGAGCCTCGGTCTGGCCCTGGAAACTGTTCCGGGATTTTGAGTTTCTCTGTGTGTGTGTGTGTGTGTGTGTGTGTGTGTGTGTGTGTGTGTGTGTGTGTGTGTGTGTGTATTCTTTTTTGGATATTATTTGTGCAATTGTTGGACAAAATGACTTCCTGTGGCATTAATTGCACTAATGGAGCGTCCAAGGAGTCTCCACTTCATTTTTTCTGTAAGTAAAATAATATTCATGTATTTTAGGTCACTGCCGAGCTGAGCTTAGATTTTAACATGTACTGTTTAACCATGAAATTTAAATGTAATAGGGTAAAACCCAGTGCATTTAACATAATGCTGCACTTTAGAAAATGGTTTGAAATATAACATGTTGGTGGAGCTGGGTTCCCACTATCGGCTTGTGGAGCTCTCGGGAGACCGATGTTTTCCACCCGGTTTTACCCAGCGGTCAGCCCGGCGTATCTCTGACTCAGACGCTCTGGTGTTGTGCACAGTTATCTCCGGTTGTAGCTAGGTTGCTACCTCCGTTAGCTTAGCTCCCACCTCTGCGTTAGCTTTGGGTTAGCTTCAGGTTAGCTTGTAGCTTGTTCGACCGGGTGTCGTCAGTTGATCCCAGCCTTACAGCTCCACCCTCAGCTCCTCCTCTCTTCCCTTTTGTGGAATTGTCTGGGCTTGACACGGTCAAAATGGCGATGGTGGCCACCTCCCATTTTAGTACAAAAACTTATTATTGGAGCTATGGAAACCCATTGTCCAATATTTATATGTCGATGTTCGGAACCAGAAATGCTTGATCGAAGCAAAATATTCTTATCCTATATTCTTATCTGCAGATATTTATTTTAATTAGGGCTGTCAAACAACTAAAAATGTTAATCTAATTACTCACAGGGTATGTGAATAAACCATGATTTACCAATATTTTCTGGCATTTTCATCCATTTCACCCCAGCAGCCAGGAGCCGGGTTTAAGTTAGCATCCACCATCAGCGTCACCTGGCCAGGACCTTCTGCCGGCTCCCATCAGAAACTACTTGAAGCACGTCTGCCTCTGCTTCCAAGTGGACAATATCAGCTTCTCTGTGACTGCTCGTTCCCTCCTTTGAGCTAGCATCATGAACCGCTGCCGCTCCAGCTAGCATAGCTCCGTTGCCTTCATCGTGAACGTCTTGCTTTTCTATAACCCGCTGTTGGGTCCAGCAGCAGGTTTAAAATATCCTGACAATTTTGGGATTTTCTGCAGAAGATTTTTGTGCTTTTGTTCTTTGATTCTCTCCGTTTTTCTTTTCTGAGCGCCGCTCTCACATTTTTTTTCAGACATTTTTTTTTCATTTTCCCTCATTAAGTGCAGCAGCCTAACTCAAGACCGCCACAATGTTTACCCAATCAGTGTCGCTTATGATTTTGTCGGCCAATACAGTTGAAGAATATTCTTGCATGTAAATTTAAATAAAATCATATATTTTTAGCTGGCCAATGGGGGCCCCAGAACACATGTGGGCCCCTAGGCTTAAGCCATATCAAGCCTGTGCATTAATCCGGGCCTGCCTACAGTCCATAGCAAAACCAAAACCTATCTCTTCCCGGTGCTTTCGTCTTTTTAACGCCTCAATCTAACAGCCGAAACGTCTCCCATTCCTAAGTGTCTAAAAGAGTGATTCATCACTAAATTGAACAAATCAGCTGTGTTCATGATATAAAACATGCAGGAAACGTGTTGGAACCAGACAGCAGCGCCAGGTAGGTCAGCTCAATTTTTCCAAGTTCCAACAGACCGGACCGCAACTGCAAAGTTGCAAGTGAGATATTCTGTCCACAGGGGGCGATGGGCACTGGGTGGCCTTTCATTCACCCTGTAATCATCAACAAGCAAAAATAACCACTCATAAATGTTTATCTCCTGCAGTCATTGGGAGGCAGGTGGCTGACATCTTGGACAGGCCACCAGTCCATCACAGGGACACACAGAGACAAACAACCAGTCACACACTGAGACCATAGGGATAATTTAGAGATACCAGTTAACCCAACATCCCTGACTACTTCACTTTAAAAGGCAACTGCCACCATGCAGCCCAGTGACAACCTAAAAGTAATATTTGAAGTTGGGGGAAGTAGGCCGGATATGGACTTTGAACTGGCACTCAGGTTTTTGTACTGTATTTTAAAATGGATTTCTTATTGTATTTTCATAGTGTAACGTGAGGAAATATGGGTTTTCTGTCACAATGGTGGTGTTTATTACGGTATTTTACAGGGATTTCTTAGTGTATTTTAATGGATTTATTAATGTATTTTAATGGTCATATCTCTGTCCTATTGTGTTGCATTTTATTGGTGTACAGCGCTTTGTCCATTTTGGCCATGTGAAAGCGCTCTATAAATAAAGTTGATTTGATTTGAAAGTAAGAATATTATCAGGTTCTGGTTGCAGAAATGCACTCCAGTACTCCAAAATGTATTTTATCTTAACACCTACAAATGAACAAATGTCCTATTTTATAACAGTAATGTTTTAGAATAGTAGGTTCAATCAGAGGCAAGTAGACATGGTTTGGATTTTGTTTAGCAGACCCCTCTCCTATAATTCACTCAACTCCACCTCTCTGGGTTACTGACTGTACTCGTCTCCCACTGAGATTCAAAGAACGCTCACTAAATTTAGCCCAAATCCTAACAGAGTAATCACAGCAGACGTCACCAATGGATCCCACATGAATTAATGTGCATTATTTACACTATGCATTCCCTTGTATTAAATACAAGTTTTGGCACTCGGTATCAGGCAGTGACGCACGTCTTTCGCTTCCGTTTTTTTAATCCAATTTGTTCCAGAGGCAGCCTCTGAAATAGCTTTCATAGTGGTTGGTCAAAACATTAATTAAACAGCGAATCTAGTTTGTTCACCCTGAATCCAAAGCTACAGTAAAAAAAACAATCTTCAGTCTGAATGAATGCGACTCCTAATGGGATTATCCCACCGGCCTCAGTGCTCTTATTTCCATCAACATCCCTCTAACTGGGTAGCTTTTGATCTTTTCCTTACGTGAAATTAATCTCAAACCAACTCAGCTGTAATGATTCTATTAAGCAGCGGATGTTCTTTTTTTCGCTCCATGTGTTGTAATCTTCGTCCTTCATTAGAGAATGAAATGCACTTTGGTTCCTGTTTAAAGGAACTGACTTTTGACTGTTTAAAGATCTCTTGAATATTCAGTGGTGTTTATCAGCTTGAGATTATTAATTAGAAATAAGTTCCTTTTGAATCGGTGATGGCTCAACCATAGGGGGTGCTGGGGCGTTGCCCTCCCTGATGTGAAGAAAAATTAATCTAAAATTAAGGAAACTACAATATAATAACATGTTTTTACTACAAATGTGTTAGTTTTTTTAATTGTGTGCACCAAAATGAGTTTTCTCCGCAGGGTGTCTGGGCTCTCCCTTAGAGATAGGGTGAGAAGCTTGGTCACCCATGAAGGGCTCGGAGAAGACCTGCTGCTCCTCCACATCAAGAGGAGCCAGAGAAGGTGCCCCCTTGACGCCTCCCTGGTAAGGTTTTCTGGACACTTTCAACCAGGAGGAGACCTAAAAGAAGACCCAGGACACACTGGAGGGATTATGTCTCACGGCTGTCCAGAGAACGCCTTAGGATTCCCCCAGAGAAGCTGACCCAAGTGGTTGGGGAGAGGGAAATATGGGCCTCCCTGCTTAGGCTACTGCTAACCGACCCCGGATAAGTAGCCAAAAGTGGATGGGTGGATGGATGGATGGATGTGGAATGAAGATGTTAATTACATTTAATTAAGGACCATAAGACATTAAATTTCATATAGAGTATGAATTCCATCTTATGGACACTGGGTTAATTAAATCAGAAGATTGGATCTTTTTATTGCAGGGATTTTAAATGAACACTTTGCATTAACTGAGAGATGGATGGATGGCTGGATGGCTGGCACCTACATGCAATCTGAAAATTTATGATTTTGACCAGCTGTTTCTCTTTAAACAGTGAATTTTCTCCAACAGACTCACTAATATCACTACTGGGGCGCTAGTAAAAGCACCCCTTAACTAGAGCTAAACAGCCAATCATATCTGGCTGTGAGGCAGAACTGCAAATCAGTGTCACTGAATGTATTGTCCCTAGGGTGCTAGCTGGCACCTACATTAATTTCTATGTCTTGTTAGTGCCACCTACTGGTAGGGCTGAATATTGTGCTTTGAGGTGAGCATGCTGACACACAGGCTGCTGGAGACTAAAAACTCACACTGGAAAACAATCTGACATCAAAAGAAAATGTGAATTAAGAGAAAAATGGAAACT